GCTCGGGTTTAACTCATTTATTAAACAGATTGAAAATCTCAACCTAACCCAACCCATTTAATTAAATGGGTTGAGAGAGCAGAGAGGAAGAAAAGCACTGCACGGAGAGAGAGCCGAGATCGAGAGGGCGAGAGGCGAACAACAGACTTGAAGAGTTGGATTGGACTTTGGAGACAATAATGGAGTAACGGACTAAAGAGTTTTCTTAGAGTTTCATGATGATTAAGAGTAATGGAGGCAATTGGAATTTGAACTTTCATTTCACGACGGTAGGATTTTTATTTAAGAATAAAACAAAATAAAAAATTAGAATACTAGATATAATATTAAGAATAAAATAAAATTATATCATATTTTAAATGGGTTAGAAACAAGTTGAAAATTAATTGAAAACAAGTTGTAAACAAGTTGAAAACATGTCGAAAAATTCAACTCAACCCAACCTATTTATTTATAAATGGGTTAGATGAGTTGACTCATCTAATTAAATGGGTTGAAAATCTCAATCCAACATGTTAATTCTGGGTTGGGTTATGGATGGGTTAACGGGTTGGATATTTTTTTACCACCCTAACTAAAGGTAATGGTTATTCTTTCTCTATTTTTTTTGTTTACAATTAAAAATATAATATGTTTGTTAATTTTAATATAAAATTAAAAAAATAATAAAAATGACTAAAATACCTTGGAATTAACGAAAAAAAACTTAACCGTTATATAAAGAAACTAAAACCGTTGGAATCGATAAACATGAGCGACCAAATCCCAGTTTTTAAAGTTTAAAGATGATATCCGTTGAAAATTACAAAAGTTAGAGACCAAAAGTAAAACTTTACTCTAAAATCAAAAACCTAAACGTTTATAACAGTAATTAAGAAAAAATAACATTAAACCACATGGGTGGTACCCGATTGGTTTGAGTTTGGACTCCAAAGATCAAAAGTGTCTAGAGGTCTTATATTCGAATCCAAGAAAGAATAAAAATCTTCTTGTGGTCACAAATGTTTCAATGCAGTGACTCCAAGCTACCCGTGAAGCGGATGATCGCCCTAAGATTAGTCGACTTGTATAATGAGTTGGATATCCAAGTTAATAAAAAAAAAAAACTAACATTAGTATATTAAATAAAAGCTAAAACAAATTATGTCACAATTTTTGATATCAAAATCATAAAAGCATGTTTTAGTCATACAATCCGTGCAAGCCAAGGCCTCTTAGTTGCTTGAGAGTATGAAATTTTCTTACGTTAACTAATTTAAAGAAATTAAAATAACGACGTGGTTAATTAATTATATAATTAATTAATTAATTATATAATTAATTAATTAATTAATTATTTTTTCAATAATTCTATAAAGATACAAAAAATCTAATCTAAGTCGTTTTTGTCTTTTTCACATGAATTACATATCGAAAACGACCATACACGTCGTATCTTTATTTTTTTCTCCTGTTTTTATGTCTATTTTTCTGTTATTTTAGTGGACATGAAATAAAGTTATGTTGATAGTGAATTACATGTAACAGTGTTCATGGTTCAGTTCAGTTAGTAAGTGAGACGATCAGACGGATACCTGGGTATCTGAATCGAAACTGAACTGTATAGGGGTGCTCATGGGTTGAGTTGATCGAGTTGAAGACATTTGAACAACCCAACCCAATGTTTGCGGTTTGAAAAATCTTAACCCAACCCAACTTAAACTAAAGTGCAATCCAACCCAACCCAACCCGTACGAGTTGGTCGGGTTAATCGGGTTGATACTTTGGTATATTAAAATATTCTTCTAACATTGAATATGTTATTTTTCTACTCATAATTTCTTTTCATCATCAACCATTTGATACAACTTATCCATACTTCTTACGTATATCACATTGAGTTAGTTTTCTCAATTTACATATATATGTTCACAGTTACTGAACATATATACGAATAAGTTATATAGAGATGTAAATAGATTGAAAATATATGTATATGAAGAGCGTATGTGATAGTGTAACTGTCTAATGTATATATTAATAGAAATTTAACAATCATATTAAATCCAAGAAATAAAAGGATATCGGGTTCATCGGGTTGAGTTGTGTTCAAATAATAGCAACCCAATACCTACGGTTTGAAAATTTTACAAATTGATTAGACATCGAGTTGCTTCGAATTGAGTTATTTCGTGTTGAGTTGGGTTGATCGGGTTGGTTGGGTTTTTGAGCACCCTAGGAACCGTAGGTTGAATTGAACTGAACCGAATTAAGGCGATTACCTGTAATTCGGTTTCAGTTTGCGATTAATTTTTAGTAGAATTAAAAAATATATATATATATATATATATATATATATATATATATATATAATAGAACATTTGAACTGATTACACAATAACTTTTTTTAGATCGACATCGAAATTCTATTGAAAAACTAGTAAGACGTTGGAACAAGAAGATTACACACAGAAAATAGCCAGAAGAGGGTTTTGAAGCGAACCCACCCAATTATTCTTGA